TATCTAAAAATTTTAAATTTACTATTAAATTTATATAAAATTCAAACTATCTTTGAATCCTGTAATTGGATTTTAACGATTTTGGGCTCGTTAGAATCCTCTCACTGAGATGAACATTTTGGTAGTTAAATCATCTAAAACGGATTAGTGTATCAGAAGTTATTAGTTAATTCCAAAAATCAACCCATATGATTTTGAAAAATTGGCCTGTACTATACTGATCTGCTCGCCTATACCATATTGATCTGCGAAAGTTTTGGTACGTACGCACGTACGTAAATGACCTGTTGGAAAAAAAATGACCATCAGGGAAATAAGCAACACGTTTAATTATTACATTACTAAACTAACTACAGATGAGTTGCGTTCATTTTGTAAAACGCACCCGTCATTATCAGGAACAGAAATGTATGGTTATACGCCGTGTGAAATGTTTCTGTACAAATCCGTGCTTTTGATTGAATGTCCCTTAATACGCATTTTATCATTTATACTAAATTAAATTTATGATATATACATATCACGATTCGATTAATCAGGTTTGAGAATATTGTATACTGTACTTTATAATGAAATAACTAATTTAAGCATTTTCTTGGTCTTTTTCTGCTGTATTTTAAATTATTTATAAACAGCCGTTCTCATACTATCCATTTTTATTAGTTTGTAAATTTTTTTTTTTTTAACATTTTATAATGTTAAATTATGTTTACCAAGAATGGAGTTATAGAAATAAAATTGTGAATGGTTTACATCTGTGTATCTGCGATTCATGTTTTTAGTTAGTCAGTATGAGCAGCGAACCGGATATCTGCTAGTTTTACTATCTCATACTTTTATGGAATTTTCGGAATTGCTTGGTGAAATTCGCATTTACATTCCAGAGTTCTTTTGCTTACACTACATATATGCGTAAATAATTGACGTTATAATTTATTTATTAGGTTAATATAGTGTTCAATTTTCTGTAAAAACCGTAACTGTAATGCCTGTAATCATGTATTGACGTATTGTATAATGCTTTTTTGATGTCGTAAGCTGAAATATTATGATAAAAATTAGAAGGACACAATGAAAGATTGGGAGCATTGATAAATTGAGAAGGCTCAATAAAAATTGAAAGTGGTATTGTTGTATATTTAACAATTTATAGTTATTTAAGAGAGCTAAACAATTTAAATAGAAAGCAGGACTAATAGACATTTACGGCAATGTGACGCGGAATGTTTACTGTATCCAAGATTTTATTCATTATTAATTATGGCTTATGCCACAAACCAGTAATTACAGTGTCAATGTATGTATAATAAAGTGTGTTCTGATAACTTTGAATATGCCATTGTTTCTGGTTTTAGCGCAGCTACATTGTACAGCTGCCTTATTTAGTCATCCTGTGACAGTAAACAAAATCGATAAATATGGATTCAATGGTCAGTCGCATTCTCTTTTAATTCTACCACGTACTGTATAGTGAAATTACCATAATGCAAAAGAATGAATACCATCACTATATTCCAAGATTCATTTTACGTAACTTTGCTATTGACAATTATGAGAATGTATTCACGAATAATAGAAAGTTATTCGGTCAGAAACAAAAGTTTTGGAAGTCAAAAAGGAAAGGTGAATTTCTCCAAACTTATAATAGGGCCAATAATCAATTGGGCACTTCTTTGATTGCAAGAATTTATGGATATACCAACATGTACGAGGATCTTAATAATAATGACACCATGCATGTGGAAAAAAAATTATCTATTCTTGAAGAGAAAGCATCAAAAGTAGTCAGAGACATTATCGAAACATCTCAAACAAAAAGCCAAATTGTCTTGCTTAGGAAAAATCTTGCTGACTTACGCAAATTCCTCTTCATTATGAACTATCGAAAACCTGCTAGAAGAAATCAGTTTGCAGATAAGAGGTTTGATATTGCCACTTGGTCAATGGTAGAAAGTTTTATGCAGGAGCACAATTTACAAAAGTCGCAAGAAGTGTGGTTACAGAACGTCCGAGAAATAATTGATACCCCCCATGAAGATGTCAATGACAACACAAGAATATTTCCGGTAGATAGAATGGATTATAGGCTGCGCATGATTGATTGTTTCGTCGCAATTTGGCAAGCTGGTGATAATGATGAATTTATTATGACCAGCAATGCGTTTGGAATTTTTGAAGGTATAAATATTAACAGACCCTTGCAAATGGGAGGTCCAATTCAAAAAGCTTTCCATTATTTTTACGTCATTTCTCCAAAGCTAGCTCTAGTCCTTTGTGATTCTGGATTTCGAGAAGATGTTGGATTTGAGACTTTAGATAAATTTTTTGGATCTAAACATCGTTCGCTTTTTCAAAATGTTCCTCATCCACCACCAATTCCGGAATATGTTGGCCTTAAAGATGGTAAAGTAAATCCAAATAAAGATCTTGATGAACCATTTGATTGGAGCAAATATGACAATACGTTTGATTGGTGGAAAAATCAAGTAGGGTTCAAAACTCAAGATAATGACAAATTTACCATTACCTTCGTTAAAGTCAATTCAGCCACTGTTCACCTTGTAAACTCAATTGTGCTTAATGAGGCTAACCCAGACTTATAAGTGTCCTTCCGTTCTCTTCCATGCCTTTATAAGACGATTGTTAAGTACAATAAAAATGTCAAGAAAATTGATAAATTTACACCGCAGGACTACTCAAATATGAAAAAGACTTTATTCACGGCATTAAATAGAACTCATGAAGAGGACTTGAATCTCCGAAAAAATATTTCAGGTGGCAACAGATATTGGAATTTTATGCAAATTTGATTAAATGATGAAGGGGTTATTTTATTGCATTTTGATTTTCTATTTTGATGTATTTTGTCATTATTTTTATAGTGGTTGCATTTTTATTTTACCATTTTGATTTATTTATGCTATTTTCTATTGTTATTACACATTGTAACTCTCTGTCGTTATAACAAATTCACTGGGCAAAGACAAGAATTTCACCATTGATTACATTGAAGAATAGTATATATCTAGTGTTGATTATAACGAGAGCGAGTTACTTCTTATCTATCGACATATTATTGTAATTTTGATATTGACACGTTGATTTGATATCTACAAGTTGTAGTGTATCTATAATGGCGGAATTATGCTTATAGCATCATATAAACAATATCAGACGTATAATGCGTATAATTAAAGACGACAACCACAAATTTATATTTCTACTATTTGGTTTTTTTATTTATTTATTTTTTTTATTTGTTTTTTTTTTTTTTTTTCTTAACTTACTGTTATACTGCTATTTAGTATAGAGAATTCTGAATTTAAAAAATTTAAAAGTTTATAAGCATTTATTGTAACTTGCTTTCTGATTTGTTCGTGAGTTACTCAAGTTATACTCGTCAGAACACTCGGATAATGTGTACCAGGTACAAACCTAGCATGACTACCAAAATCAGTTCGTACGGAGATAAATCATTTTCCGAAAAATTTGAAAAATTTGATTAAAAATATATGCTACAATATATTAGTCGTTTGTTAATATGACAATATCTATTAAAACATAATAACAAATTTTATTCTTACCAAAAATTATTGTTTATCCTGTCGAATAATAAAACCAATGAATTTGAAATAAAAAAATTCACGTATTGAGTGCTTAACTCGTATAAATAAAGGAAAAAAAAACGAAAAATTCAAGAGCAGAATATGAATACTTGAAGATCTTAAAGGCATAGTTTATAAGCTCATATTTTTTAGATAAATAGAGAAGCAAATTCACATATCACTTTATAATGCACAATTTCTATAGCAATTAATTCAATGGTTCTTGACGACAATAATATTACTGAAGACGACGAATCAAATGAAGAAATTGATTGGAAATTATCGAAAAATATAAAAATATAAAAAAGTCTTATGCTCTTCTGCAGCAATAGAAAGGGTGAAACCCATTGAATCAAACTTCAAACCAGTTCAAAAGATGGCAGACGACACAACAAATCTGAACCAGACATAAAACTTTCCAAAAACCTGGCATAAGTCAGAACAAAAATACTTTTTATTGGTAATAAATTCAAATATTTCATATAGGATGTAAAGATAGATAATAAGGATCACTGAATAACATGGCTTTTCTTTTTTTGCGCAATAAAAATTTTAAACTGTAAATAAAATTTTAATTAAGTTTTGCAAATTCGATCGCTATTTACTGGGTTACGAGATCTGGCTGGGTTATTAGCGATTACGTACGTAACCGATTTTGGTGGTCGCAATTCTTGAATGTGTGCCAGATTGGTGGCGCATCAATCAGCCCAAGTAATTTGCGCCAATTAAAAAATTCTAATGATAAATTATAAATTTTAATAAAACGAAAACACCATTTTTTAACGTTATTTCTACTCGAATCATGTTATTTTCAAAAAAGCATGTTTACCTTCATTTTTTTCATAATCATTAATTTCTAATATTATTGTTTTGAATCAAAAAATACTCGTATTCTTTACTTTTATAATGTTTATACTGTAAGTTATAATTTTCAGAATTTTTACAGACCAGAACATCAAAGCTCTTAATATAATATGCGTATAAGAAAAATGTTGACTTTAAAAATATGATAATAAATCTCAAATAAACACGTACTATATCTGGTATAGTTTATAAAACAAAAATATCTAAATGAAAAAAATACTTTTTCATAATCTACGCTGAATCGTATTTTAAAAAAAGAATAATAGTAATATTCCTAAAAACGTTTCACTTTTAAACCTAAATTTTATAAGCTTTGTTAACCTTACACACTTCCGAAATTACTGTACTTACATATTAAATACAACTCTCTTTATTATGGTACTTTTTTATAATGAACGAACTAAAAATTTTAAAAACTATATTGTTTCTGTTATGTCTTCAATTCACAGAACTATTCACGGTTGATGTAACGCACTGTACATACTGAAATAAAAGAGATCATTGTGGCTGGGTAATGCTGGCACACATTCAAGAATTGCTTGGTGGTCATGCTAGGGTTTGTACCAGGTTGTGGCACAGACAAATTTTTGAGTTTAGGGTTAGAATTAGGAATGTTTTATATAGTAAAATTGCCAATGAAACTTTTTGCTAGAGCACTAAAGGTGATTTATTATGCTGATTTTCGAGTTATGAGCGATTAACAGCATCGAGGATTTTGTCCGCACATGTGATAATCGACAAATGATTAATGTAATGTAACACGATCAATGTAATCCTTTGCTCATATCCTCAAAAATTTACACAACCAAATCAACTTTTGTGAAATTTTACTTTATAAATATAATGAACAATAAAAAATGCATAATTGTCACGTGTGCGGACAAATCCCCTGCACGCTGTGTTTTTCTGAGCGATTTTTGGCAGACGTTTTGAATTTCCTGATAGTGTTACGTTACCTAATCTTGAAATTGATTAGTAGTTCAGTAGGTTCCGCACAAAAATGCACGGCAGATCCTCGATTTTGATTGGCTAACGGCCGAAGATCTTCCAAATTTTGGCCCGCATTACGCAATTGTTTACTAATTTCCGGCCGAATTAACTTTAATTTTTTCATTACAAAAATAGAAATTAGTTTTTCATGTAATTTGTAATTTCTACATATGATATTAGTTTCTGAGATCAAATTTTCGGTGATTTGAGAAGTTACAATTCTGATCATATACTGTATTTAAATCAAATGATGCATAATGCTGGCCGAACTTTCGTAAAGCTTATTTTATAAATAACGTGACAAAAATTACATGAGATCTTATTTACTAAAACTTCAGAACTTACGTAAATTACATATATTGTAAAATTGTAATTTATGTAACATAACCCTAGGTATAGTGAAAGAAAATTGAATTTAATTGCAACTAATTGCAATTATTTCGTCATTAATTAGGTTCATAATAATTTTAATTGTTTTAATTGTATGACGTCTGACAAAACTTGATAAAATTAATAATTTTTGGTAGCCTGGTTACATTAATATTAAGCAGATGAGTTACGTTCATTTTGTAAAACGATCACAAAAATGTACCGTTCATTTAATAATGGTATCTATAAATGGTAAATTTAATGAGTCATTCTCATTCTCTTTAATTCTACCACGTATAGAGAAATTACAATAATGCAAAAGAAAGAATGCCATCACTATATTCCAAGATTCATTCTACGTAACTTTGCTATTGACAATTATGAGAGAGTATTCACGAATAATAGAAAGTTATTCAATCAGAAAAAAAAGGGTTGGAAGTCAAAAAGGAAAGGATAATTTCTCCAAACTTACGATAGAGCCAATAATCAATTGGGCACTTCTTTGATTTCGAGAATTTATGGTACACAAACATGTACGAGGATCTTAATCATGATGACACAATGCATGTGGAAAAAAAAATTAGCAATTCTTGAAGATAATGCATCAAAGCTAATCAGATACATTATCGAGACATCTCAAATAAAAAGTCAAATTGTCTTGCTTAGGAAATATCTTTTTGACTTACGCAAATTCCTCTTCATCATGGACTACCGAAAACCTCATAGAAGAAATCAGTTTGCAGATAAGTATTTTGATATTGAAACTTGGTCAATGATAGAAAGTTTTATGCAGAAGCATAATTTACAAAATCCGCAAGAAGTGTGGTTACAGAACGTCCGAGAAATAATTGATTCTCCCCATGAAGACTTCAAAGACAATACGCGAATATTCTCAGTAGATAAGACGGATTATGGGCTGCGCATGATTGGTTGGTTCGTCGCAATTTGGCAAGCTGGTGATAATGATGAATTTATAATGACCAATAATTCGTTTGGAATTTTTGAAGGTATAACAAACCCATGCAAATGGGAGGTCCAATTCAAAAAGCCTTCCATTATTTTTGCGTCATTTCTCCAAAGCTAGCTCTAGTGCTTTGTGATTGTGGATTTAAAAAAGAGATTGGGTTTGACGCTTTAGATAAAATTTTTGGATCTAAACATCGAACGCTTTTTCAAAATGTTCCTCATCCACCACCAATTACGGAATATGCTGACCTCAAAGATGGTAAAGTAAATCTAAACAATAATGATAAATTCACCATTACCTTTATTAAAGTCAATTCAGCCGCTGTTCACCTCGTAAACTCCATTGTGCTTAATGAATCTAAACCATACCTACAAGTTTCTTTCCTTTCTCTTTCATACCTTTATAAGACGATTGTTAAATACAATAAAAATGTCAAGGAAATTGATAAATTTAAACCAAAGGACTTCTCGAATATGAAAAAGACTTTATTCATGAGGAGTTGAATCTCCGAAAAAATATTTCGGGTGGCAACAGATATTGGAATTCTATGCAAATTTGATTTAATGATGAAGGGTGTTGTATGTAAGGTTATACAATAGTAATTTTTGATTTATTTTAGAACCATATCATAGGATGCTCTTTTTTTATTATTATTAATATTTATTGTCATATTCTTTGTAGGGGTTGCATTTTTTATTTAACCATTTTGATTTATTTATGCTATTTTCTATTGTTATCACACACTATAACACACACTCTTTATATTTAAGTTACCGGGCAATTACAAGAATTTCTTCATTGATTACATTGAGGGGATACTATATAACTATAACAAGATTTATTATCTATTGACTTACTATTGTAAATTTGATTTACAAAGTCGTAATATATCTATAGTGGCAAAAATGGGATCAGATCAACTCACCAACAATCACTTCGTAGACACTACATTTCACTGACAATTATTTACCGACAAGTTCATTTCACCAACAGTTTATTTCACCGAAGCTTATTTTTATAGACAAAGTAATTATGGTCAATATCATTAGGGTTAGGTTAGAATTAGAACTAAAGTTAGTGTAATTTATAAAAAAAAACTTGTCGGTGAAATGAGCTTCGGTGAAATAGACTGTCGGTAAAATGAAC